TTAGTTTTCTTCCCAACCATTCCCACCCTCTTGGGCTCTCTGTTCTCTTCCCGTTTCTGTTCGTTTCTTTTTTTTTTTCTTTTTTTTCTTTTTTACAAAATCTGGTTACATAATTGAAAGAAGGCTATTTTAGGTATTTCACTTACTTATTTATATTTATAGTTCCAATTTTAATTTTTCAGCTACTTGAGGTTATTTAAACAAAAAAAGTGTTGAAAGGGTCCTTTAAATAAAATGACCCTTTGACTATCCCTTTTAAATAAAGGCCCCATCTTAGGGCATCTTTTAATAAGAGGTTTCTTATCAGGTTTCTAAACCTCCTGCTACAGATTTTCCACTAAAGTTGCAAGGTTTAAGGTTTATATTTTTAAACCAGGTTTGCAAATCCAAACCTACCATAAACCTCAATATTAAAAACATTGTAAAATAATTGAACAATTAAATAATGGCGCGTTGCTTCCACATACATATAAGATAATATGGAGTCTGCTGCCCACGCCCCAAATATGTTTGTGAAGAGGATGGTCCCACGTCTGCAGCCCAACTTTCATGAAATTTGTTTGTGTTTTTTTTTTCTTTTCGTTTTTTTAATCAATTTATTGGCACACCTACACCACTTGGACATTTATTTATATATATATATATATATTTTCGTTTCTTTAATTAAAATACCGCCCAACTCACATTTATTTGATTTTTTTTGTTTTTATCCTTTTTTAATCAATTCATTGGCACACTATTTGGACTTTCTTTATGTTTTTTTTATTTATTATTATTTATGTAATCAATTTAAATTATCGTGTATGGGAAAAAAAAGCTGCTAAATATGCATTGTATTCTAAAAAAAAATTGTGTGCAACATTATAAAAAAAATAAGAGTATAATAAAAAGTGGAGTAATAGTTTTTAATATATTAATAAATATAAGATCATAATATTAATTAAAATAAGTGGGAAACATGTAGGACCCACAAAAGAGAGGTTTTTGAGGTTTATTGTTATTGGAGAATTATGAAGGTTGGAGTAAGAATGAGGTTTTGGATGATGTGGCATGTTGTAAAGTAAAAAAGGAGGTTTAGGGAGGTTTTCCACTAAAGATGCTCTTATAAGAAAACCATGTTGCCCCTTTGCTTGCAGCGTGGCACCTCTCAAAACGCTCCATTTTGTTCAAAACGGCGTCGTTTATGAGATGTTTTCCAACCAGCCTCTTTGCATTTTTTTTCCTAAACTACCTCACTTTATATTGCATTTTTAGGATATTTTCGTCCTTTACATGTGACAGGCTATTTCCCTACCGGCAAAATTTCCGCACACACGCAAGCTCTCTTTCAAATCTACCCACTCATCATTTTTCTTTTATTTCTCTCAAACTCATCCTTTTCCACAAAGAAGGAAAAATAATCGCACAAAAATGAACCCGATCTCTTTGATTTTCCAGCTTCAGCATTACAGGTTACCTAATCCCTTTTATGCAGAGAACAACGGAGGATTCCGATATATGCTCTACGCCGCCATGCTCGACCCGACCGGCTAGATTGGCTTAGGCGAGACCACGGCCAGTCCGACTTCTCCGTCACAGCTGATAGGTACATATCTATCTCCCTCCCCTTTCTTGATTTTTCTTAAATTCTCGCTTTCATCTATCGATTTTTTTGCCTGGTAAATTTTGTTCTTTTTTTTCCACCTCTCTTTCTGTACTTTGTTTAATCGCAATATGTCCGAGTATAGCTTTTGTATCGATGATGGTTCACTCTGTTTCTTGTTTTTCATTTGGGCTTTTGATTTTTATATGCATTCATTTACTATATAGCTTTTATTTTCTACTGGCTCTCTTTTTCTTCTCAATTTGTTTGATTATTTTCTTGCAGGCCTGTGATTTCTCTACCTCTGTAAGTTTAACCTTTGTTCATGTGTCTATTTCGTGCACATTGTGTTGTCTTTTTGATGTAAAGGTGAATTATCACATGTGATAGTTGACTGATGTTTTTGAGAGGATTTAGGATAAATGGGATTATTGTAATGGTTGAAAGTATTTAAGAATAAAAAAAAATTGTGCTAATTAATTATGTTGACTTTTAGTTTTCTTCCATCAGAGCAATTGAAAAGGTATGCCTCATTACCAAACCCTCTCGGCAGCACTTGCTGCATGAAAATGACTTCCTCGGCATTATCCATGACTCTCGAGAACGGGACGTTGGGTAGGTCGGCTGACAGGTACCCGAGATTGAAACCCGTGACAAGAGCACATGTCGTATCGAACGTGAGCCTCTGTAAATTGTCTGTCTCTGCGCAGGTAGATAAGGTAAAATGTGAAATAGCAAAGATGGGACCTTTTGAAAAGGGGCGCGTGAAAATGGCGATAGTGTACGCGCTGATGGCGCATGGCTCAGTGGTGCTGGTGGAGTTCAGCTCCACGCCCACGATGGCGAACGCTATCGCCCGAAAAATCATCGAGAAATTTCCTGGCAACGAAGATACGAACGCTTCCTACTAGAATCAAATTTTATTTGCTCCTTTTCGTGGCTGAATCATTTGTAGAGAGAATAAACATCTTGGAATTATATGCGAGCTGTGATTTATAAGGTTTTTCTTTTTTATTTGCAGTTGGAATTTTATTTTTCATTGTTATTTGTAGATGACAAACTATGACTGATTTGGAGAACCATATAAATCCGTAGTCAAGCTCTTTGAATTTGGAAGTTGATGATAGTTGGACGAGCTGAAAAACCATGCCATTGTCGTACTTGTGATTTTACTCATTAGTCGGATCCAAAAAGGCAAGTGTTGCGATTCGTGTTTAAATTACTAAAGAATGATGGGCTGTGTGTTTGTCTTTTGATTTTTATTGGCTGAATGTTATTCTGTTTTAAATAAAGCGAGAGTATTGTTATGAGTTAACAATTCTAATTAGTGTGCATTTGCATAATCTCCCACACATATTTGGTGCAGGAAGAATATAGGGCGGAGGATGATGATGATGTGCCAACTATGAGTGGGAACAATAACATGTTCTTTGCAACGGTGGTTGGTGTAACATATCATGCGAATTCGTTTTTGGATTTAAATCTTTTGAGGCCGCTGCTTAGGGCTTGTGAAGCTCGTTACTGTAAACACACTCTCATTCAGGTTCTTTAACAGTTTCACTTTTCCATAACTGTAACAAAAAATTTTGTATTCAATTCAATCGTTTATTGCATGTTGCTTAGGGCTTGTGAAGCTCGTTTTGTATTCAATTCAATCGTTTATTGGTGTAAAAAAATTTCCTTACTAGCCACTAGCGTATTGCATGTTTGCCATTTCTATCCATTTAATTTATGTTGGGATCTTAAAAAAACACTTGCATGGATGATGGAAGTTAAGATTAATTGATTTATCTTGTGAATATATATATATATATATATATATTAATTATTTCTCATCATATATTTTCGTATTTCCCCTACTTCTTAAGCGGGTATAAATATATTGGTTGAATAAGTAATATTTTCTCATGCCATTGTCGCTCATTCTTTATATAATGCGCTTGGTGTTCTATTGGTGCTACTTTTATCCACATATAATCACTGTTAATACTGGAGATGTAAGAAGTACAAACTGCTTATTCTCGTTGTGAAGCTGAGATAACTCATGCAAGTACTATGTGAAAATTTGTGGACAACGCTGCCATTGTCGAAGAATCTACGTGCATATTTAGACTCATAACGAATGAGCATTTCACATTTAGAGTTAAAATCTATTGTGTGCTGTAATGCAACTTTAGCACTAAACTATTGTGTGTCAAGAAACAACTTCTTTTTTTTTTTTTTTTTTTTTTTT